ATTCATGGATTTTATACAATCCAAAAAAGATGAAGGTACATCTTCTAATGTACCAACCTACTCTTCAGTCATATCAGAGGATAGTAATGAGAATCTTGAGGTTTATAACCAAAAGGACACAAAAGAGTTAATAATTCTTTTGGAACAATCCGACCTTAAATGGAAGGATAATCCGTGGCAATTAATGGCCAGATATTTTGATACAGCGTCATACGCTACACCTGCTTATAAATACAGGATGCATTATGAGGTTATACTCTCGACAACAAGATCTGCTGAAATTCAGCACTTTTATCCTGCGAATACCAGAAAAATTATAGTTTTTCAAAGATTATTATTAAGAAGGTAATACCTTCAGATGAATGGGGTATCAGTACCCTCAAGGATCGAGAATACACTCATCCTGACCAAAAAGTATCAGTCAAATTTAATTATTGGGATTATGTAGAAAGTTTTAATAAAACTTTTCTTTATGAGAATCCTAATAGGAAACATTCTTGGTTCATTAAACTTTGTTCTAATATGAATAGACAACAGATCCCTAATTGGTTCTTCAAATGGTGGAAATTATACGGTCCGTCATTAGAAATACTTCCTCCCTTATTTAAGAGTTTATATACTCAATGGGTAGACATATCTCCCAAAATTATTTCTCTACAAAAAGATAATATATTTTATGATGGCATTGCTGCCATGTATTTTTTCATAAAATTCTCTATCCCTTGGATAATGAAATGGGATGTGCAAATTGATTATACCACCGAAGGAATTCCTTGTCTTCACAAAAAATTTTATAATAAATTCTGGAGTAAGTTACTCCAATCAAATCAGCAAGGGAAATTATTTGGTGAAGATTTAATCCAACAAATTCAGGCTAAATTAGAAGCCTATGTTCAACAAGGAAGAACAAAAGTTGCAGGGGATAAATTAAGTCCCTTTGAAATGGTTACTAGACGACTTCAAATGAAGAAAGAGGTAGTTTCAAAAGGAGAAATTCTTGCATCATATTTTGAAGAAGTCAAGAAAGATTTAGCAAGGAATTTTGGAACACAAATCAGCGACGATATATTGATGACCTCTATCGGTGAAACTTCAGATGAAGAAGGTTGTGCAGCAGGAGAAGCTCAAAGCAGCCCAAGCACAGAAATTAACATTGACGAAATTGAAGATTTCCTTGCAAAGTTGAAGGAGACTGCAGAAGAATCTTCTGCGAAAAAAGACGACAAAGGAAAAGCCAAGGCATGAAGGCCCCATAACATAAATTATTGGGGTAATAAAGACAACTTTAATAAAGTCACGGGCCCATCCATTATTGAAGGTAATCCTACTTTTATAAAGTAGTTGGCCGGTTGTAATTATATAGAATTTTCTATTTATCTTGTCGGTCATCATTGTAATTATTTTGTCAGCCAACTTACTGTTTTAGTTTTGTTTGTTTTTATAAGGATCCATTATATAAGGATCTTCATTTTCTTTAGAGAGGGGAGCATTAGCAAAAGTTTTAGAAAATGCTCTGACTTCTCTCTAGTTTCTCTCTCTTGTAAAAAACTCTCTCCCTTGTAATATTTCGAATTCTGATATAAAATCAAAAGGTCACTTGGCCACAAACAGGCGGTCTCTGGTACTATTCTACTCCCTCCCTCTTCAATATTTGCAGTATTGTTAGCCTAAATGATATGCTAAACAGGTTAGTGTTAAACTTAGTATTCGAATATTTTTACTAAGCATGTTTTTGTAGCTAGGAGTTTACAGTGTCACCCCGATGAGGTTATGGGTTAAGAACTGTATAGACCAGGCAGTTACCAATTTCAACAGTAAATCTTGATTAGGCCAACCTAACCGGTGGTGTTAGTTGGACCCGTTTAGGCAAGTGGCCGTTGAAGGGTTGTGAGGAACACCGTGGTTTAAGGTTTACCTAGAAGTTAGTAGCTAGCTAGGGCTGAAGTTCTTGTAATTCATTTCCTGAGCCTCATTCGGAAGCGATCCCGTACCCCCTTAGTATATATATATAAATATATAATACTTTTTTTTTACTTTTTAAATCTCCTTTATAAAAATTCTACTTCCGTCGCCGCATATAAGTGCTCCATATTGTCCCTTGGTCTTAAAACACGAGAAATAATGTAGCATAAAATAGACAAATTCTTTATATTTGAACGACAATGATATATAGGATCAGACATTTCACTATTGGTTCCTATACTGTATTAATTTCGAAAAAGAAAATATATATGTGCCTATTTCGTTTCTCGTGATGCACATTGTTTTCGTCACTGTCAATGAATTACTTGATATTTTGACTAAACATAAAGTGTACTGTGTTAAATAGAGTATGATTTTGCCTTACGGTTGGGGTGGCATGGCCTTGTGTATATCTAATCCCAAAAGAATACAAAAACAGGAGGAGACCCCACATCTTGACCTTCACAACATCGGTGAATGGACACCCATTACCAACAGTCGGGGTTTACTTCTTGTAAAGAGTTAACCTCCTTTACAGAGCTGCAACGAAGATAACAATAAACATGTCAATTGATACGAACACTTAGGGGATTCAGTTTTGTATACGGGTAAACTCGGGGTTAGCACACACTCCGAGTTCTCGCTAAGACAAAAACAACAACAACAACTATCCAGTAAAATCCTACATAGTGGAGTCTGGGGAAGGTAATGTGTACGCAGATCTTACCCTTGCCCCGATAGGGGCCGAGAGGCTGTTTCCGATAGACCATCGGCTCAGAAAGACAAAAATAAAGTAAAAAAAACAAGAGGAGAGAATTCATTAGTAACTCCAATAGAAATCGTAATAGTAACATACATAAAAATCGAAAACTGAACGACATGCAATAACAGTAACCATAATCTAAGGCCCGGGGCTAAGACAAACAACAAGAATAGTGTGGGTCCAACATAAACTGCAAGCCATCTAAGACCAACCCTAATCCAACCCCGCCTCACCCCCGAATGAAGTAAGGAAAGCTTTACTACCCCTATCCTACAACCCTAATGCTTGACCTCCAGGCCTTCCTATCAAGGGCCATGTCCTCGAAAATGTGTCGTGCCATGTCCTTCCTGATTACCTCTCCCCAATACTTCTTAGGTCTCCCTTTACCTCTTCTCGTACCCACCATGACCAACCGCTCACACCTCCTCACCGGTGCATCGAGGCTTCTCCTCTGCACGTGCCCGAACCAAGTAAGCCTCACTTCTCGCATCTTGTCATCCATAGGGGCGACGCCCACCTTCTTCCGAGTATCTTCATTCCTAATCTTGTCTATCCTAGTGTGCCCGCACATCCACCTCAGTATCCGCATCTATGCTACTTTTATCCTCTGGATATGGGAGTTCTTAACCGGCCAACACTCTATTCCATACAACATGGTCGGTCTAACTACAACTCTATAATACTTACCTTTGAGTATCGGTGGCACTTTCTTGTCTCACAAGACTCCAGATGCAAGCCTTCATTTCATCCAACCCGCCCTTATGCGGTGAGTGACGTCCTCGTTGATCTCTCCGTCCCCCTGAATCATCGACCCAAGGTACTTGAAGTTATCTCTCTTGGGGATGACCTGTGGCCCAAGCCTCACGTCCCAGCCTACATCCCTTGACTCAGCGCTAAACTTGCATTCCAGGTACTCTGTCTTAGACCTGCTCAATTTGAAACTCTTAGACTCGAGAGTCTGTCTCCAAACCTCCAATCTCTCGTTAACACCGGCCCTCGTCTCGTCAATTAGAACTATGTCGTCAGTAAATAACATACACCATGGCACCTCCCCTTGAATATGGTATGTCAAAGCATCCATCACCAAGGCAAATAAGAACGGGCTAAGCGCTGAGCCTTGGTGTAATCCCATAACAACCGGAAAATGCTCTGAGTCGCCTCCCACCGTCCTAACCTTAGTCTTAGCTCCATCATATATGTCATTGATTGCTCGTATGTAGGCTACCGGCACGCCCTTCACCTCAAGACATCTCCAGAGCACCTCCCTAGGAACCTTATCATACGCTTTCTCCAAGTCAATAAACACCATGTACAGATCCTTCTTCTTATCCCTCTACTGTTCCATCAACCTCCTAATAAGGTGGATAGCTTCCGTAGTGGAGCGGCCCGGTATGAACCCAAACTGATTGTCGGATATAGACGTCGTCTTCCTCACCCTCACCTCCACCACCCTCTCCCAGACTTTCATGGTATGGCTAAGTAACTTGATACCCCTATAATTGTTACAATACTGGATATCACCTTTGTTCTTGTACAACGGTACCACTGTACTCGACCTCCATTACTTCGGCATCCTCTTCGTCCTAAAAATTACATTGAATAACCCAGTCAGCCATTCCAATCCTGCTCTACCCACACACTTCCAAAACTCAACCGGAATTTCATATGGCCTGGTCGCTCTACCTCTACTCATCTTACGCAACGCCCCACGACCTCTTCCACCTTAATGCGCCTGCAATAGCTAAAATCTCGGGGACTCTTCGAATTCCCCAAGTCCCCTAGCACTATATCCCGGTCCCCCTCCTCATTCAAAAGATCGTAAAAGTACGTCCGCCATCTCTGCTTAATATGGGACTCTCCCATCAATACTCTACCATCCTCGTCTTTGATGCACCTTACTTGGTCCAGATCCTGGGCCTTCCTATCCCTCACTTTAGCCAGCCGAAACAACTTCCTTTCCCCGCCTTTCTCCCCTAATTCCTCGTATAGATTTCTAAACGCTGCATTCTTAGCCTCCGTAACCGCCAGCTTTGCCTCCTTCCTAGCCACTTTGTGCCTCTCTCTATTCGCACTCCTCTCCTCCTCGCTTGTGCTCCCTGCTAACTTCACGTACGCTACCTTCTTCACCTCTACTTTACCTTGGACTGTGTCATTCCACCACCAATCTCCTTGGTGCCTGCCAGAAAAACCCTTCGATACACCTAGCACCTCTCTCGACGCCTCCATCACATAGTTCGCCGTCGTCGACCACATAGTGCTTGCGTCCACTACTCCTCTAAGCTCCCATAGCGGATAACCTTGCCTCCAACTCCTGGGCTTTATCCTTGGTTAAAGCTCCCCATCTAATCCTCGGTCGGCCACGAGCATACCTCTTCTTCCTCTTCATCATAATGCCGATTTCCATCACTAAGAGCCTATGCTGAGTCGCGAGGGTCTCTCCCGGGATAACCTTGCAATCCTTGCACAACCCTCTATCACACCTTTTGAGGAGAAGGTAATCGATCTGAGTCTTCACCGCCGAACTCCGAAAAGTGACCAGATGCTCCTCCCTCTTCAGAAAAGTCGAGTTCACAATCACCAACTCGAAAGCCTTAGCGAAGTCTAACAGCGAAGTACCTCATCCTTTCTTATCCCCAAAGCCAAAGCCACCATGCACCTCGCCATAACTACCAGCAGCCTCCCCAATATGGCCATTAAAATCCCCTCCAATAAATAACCTTTCAGTAGGTGGAATACTATGCACAATCTCGTCCAAGCCCTCCCAAAAGCGCCTCTTAACCTCCTCATTCAAGCCCGCTTGCGGTGCGTAAACGCTAACGACATTGAGGGTGCACTCACCGATCACCAACTTAATAAACATCAGCCTATCATTCACTCGCCTAACCTCAACCACAGACTCTCTAAGATCCCTATCCACCAAGATACCCACTCTATTCTTACCCCTCACGACTCCAGAGTACCACAACTTATACCCATCTGCATTTCTCGCCTTCGTCCCTGCCCACCTAGTCTCCTGGACACAAGCTATATTAATCTTTCTCTTCTGGAGAATCTTTGCCAACTCAATAGACTTACCCGTCAGCGTCCTTATGTTCCACGACCCAATC